CGTGCTATCGCTCGAACAAGATCGACTGGTTGCGTTTCTGATGCCGCGATAAACGCGCGATCACGTCGCGACTGGTGAACGAGCGACGTCGGGAAACAGGACGGTTCAAAATCGATGGCCGGAAGGGTTTGTTGCTCGCGAGAGACGCGAGAAACGACAAATCGTCATCCCTGTTCGCGGAGACGAGAAGAACTCTCTCTCTCTCTCTCTGTTTGGAACACGAGAGGAGCAGCAACCGAACGCCACTCGAAGAAGAATGCTCAGCCTCGACCTCGAGTCTGTACAAATACCGTCTCTAATTTACATTTTAATGGATCTAAATTGAAATCTGCTAGACACGACCGAGATAAATTGTGCCGGGGTTACACAGGCTATTTACTTTTTATCACTTATTGCTGACTGGCGAGCCGCGTGGCCGCTCGTACACCGAGTAAATTGCGAATTGCTAATTATCCCGGAGATTGTTTCGAGAATGGACCGACGAAAGGTAGCGGTTATTCTGGAAATTTTCTGTTTCGCTCAATGTTAAATTGTCGGTGGTCATTATGATCGTTAATTTCAACTTTCTGTGATCCGTTGTATTTTCTTACGGTTGTAGTTCTGTTTAATTTCTTTTCTCTTTTTAGAGGAATGGACTGAGAGGATCTTACGCTGTAAGGTCGTTTGACGTGCATCAGTGTTTGAAAAGTTTTGACAGCGTTCTAGCGGTATATCAAATCCTGTTACACAATAAGCTTCGAAAAGTTTTAGGGGATAGTGAGTGTCTTACGAGCTCGTACGTCTATGGGATTCGAGAAATTCGGAAGCTTATAATTTCAATCTTTAACCAAAGTGTTTCAAAATCTTCAAGCACTACTGACCAAAATCAGGAATAAAGAATTTGAAAAAAGCTATCCTTAAATTTCCGTATATCTGCAGAAATTCGAAGAACGACAAGGAGATAAAGCAAGAAAGTTCGAATGAAATACCGCCGAGGATACGGACTACACAGCGCGAATTTTCTGGCGTAAAAGAGAATCTTCCCAGCGCCCGTTTATGTCTGTCGCTGAAGTCGATGTCACTTGCAATTAGCTCTTCTTAAAACTACCGGCGACGAGATAAATTAAACGAGCAAGATATTTGCGCGACGTTAATTGCAATTAAAACCATAAAACTGGCGACAAGTACGGGTAAACATAACTTTTCGATTCATACGGCCCGTCGAGGCGCGTCGGCTTATGTACATCACGATTACTCAACCGGGTCAGCGATGCTTCGAAGGAGCCCGACTAACCGTGGACAACGATAAATTGCTAATTACTCCGAGACAGCTCTTACCGTCAACTACAGCGAAAGTATAGGAGATCTCTTCTCGCCCGGTTCAACGTTTTTCACGGAGATTGCATTCGAGTAAGCAAGCGGGATATTTATCGAGATAAACAAATTGCAAATCGTTCTTTTTTTTCTCAAACCACCCTCTCGTACTTACGCCTCAATGCCGTGCATAAGATTCACTTGAAAACAAACAAGAAACGTCCGTATCGGACGTTTTAAATAATCCCAAGAATTTTCTCGCAACAAAAAAAAAAAAACATACTAGACTAATTATACCCGTCCTACTTGCAATTAAATCTTCCTTAATTAGAATACTCTGAAACGCCCAGTACACCCTCGAGGTTATCATATTAGCTAGGATTGCGCTCGCAACAACCTCATTTCTACGATTCTTTTTTTTTTGCAACTTGTTTACTACGAAACAGAGAGCGTACACCGTAGACGTAGGTACCAGGAATCATTTCACATGCACGCCGCATAAACAAGATATCCGTCTTCATTTAGCGTAACGCAAGGAACAATGTTATTTATGGCCTGACCTGATAAATGCGCTCAACGAAGAAGAATACAGCCTAAGGGCGAACGAAATTTTCCAATTACAACGAGCAATCCGAGAGAACGACCGCCGCCGCCGTTCCTTGGAACAGATATCCGAGAATAATTCCTCGACAGAGGAACAGAGAGCCAACCGACTCTTTTATCCCTCATTTCTGATCGCGCCGTGAATCATTTTCTAGACGCATCCACCGAATAATTGCGAGGCACGGCCGTGGACGGTGGGGAACTACAAATTGCCCCTGTATTACGAGTAATTTATAATTACAAGGCCCGGCGAACAATCTGCGCCGCTGTTTTTCGCCGGGGCAACCTGTTATTTCGTGCTCGACTAAATAGTCCTAGGAAAAGGAAATAGTTGCTGAAACTAACGGCGCGGCGGCGTACACGTTCTCTACTCTGTTTCTTGTACGACGAAAAGTACGAATATTCGAATACGATCGTATCGATCATCCACTTCAGTTCCCCCTTGATTTAACGACATTTTATGCTAGTTGAACAGGTATGGGATACAATTAGGTAAGCGGGACAAGCCTTTGGAGTCGTTTAAAAGCGATAATAACACTAGTTCAATTATGTCGGTGTTGCTGTTACCGGGGAAAGGGACGTAGTAAATGTTAAATATAAGTTGGATGGAAAATTAGGTAGGACAACGTCGTATCCGAGGTATCGATGAGTTTCGTTAGGTTTCTTGATAACTTGTTGATCGTATTTTTGCGTGGATTTGTTGATCATTTTTGCGCTCGTTGAACGGGTAACATGTTCCAGCGGTAATTACAGAAGATAAAGTAATTCAGCAATCTTGGCGAACGTTCGTTTTTTTTTCCTGCCGTTGGACAACTCTGTGCAATCTTCCATTTGTCATGCTACTCTTAATGCATCAACTTATTAGCAATAGGAAGATGTTAGTACTTGGCTCTAGGTGATTGAGATATAGAGAAGTTACTCTTTTTCGTGGAATATCGTAATCTATCGCGAGTACTTCCACTTTGATCACCTCTCCCTCGATTATTCTAATCATCCGAGATGAATGGTTCGAGAAAAATGAAATACTCTATCACGATTCTGCTACTTTTTTGCTGGGTTTCTTTCAAGCTTTGCGAAAAGTATCCTGAAAGATTTGTCCGACCGTTCACATATTGTCAAGTCTATTGATATTTTATTTACAGTTGACATTTACGATTCTATGTTTTTCATTTTTTTCCTTTTCCACACATTCTTCTTAACTAAATGAATTTTTGCAACTATTGCCGATGTTCGTACAATTTCGCCCGGCGAAATGAATAAATTCATAAGTCTCGCGTCGATTTTCCCGCGCCGAGGACCAAGTAAACCAACAACTGTGCAATTTTTACAGGAAAAAATGTGAATGCAAGTTTGATCGACGCGAAAAGGGGTAAAATTTTTACGATGCAGCACAGAGAGTTTCATCGGCGTAAACTAGGTGAAAAATAGGAATCCCGCGACACGATATGTCGATTCGATGCATCCATCTCCGGAGAAGTTTATTCCCCTGTCCCTGGCCTTCTGTTGCGTGTCAGCGGGAAGAAAAGTTGAAAAAGAAAGAATATCGAGAGACGATCGGCGATATTGCAGCGATCGCGCCTCCAGCCATTCTGGAACAACACGTACGACGATTTCGTCCTATCCTCCCACCTCTCGCGTGCACCTACAATCCCGGAATCACAGAAATCCGTGCAGACTGTTGGAACTCGCAGGATATTCTCTCTGCGCGTGCAACTACAAAGAAGTGGCTGGTCCCTAACGTACGTTAATGCGGGAACGTGATCGAGGAAATCGAAGAAGGAACGAGGAACCGTGTAAACGTATATACACACACATAGATCGGTGTATCTTTTGGTACCATAAAAGCTTGAATCGATGTTGTTTCAAGAGGTTCTTCAACAGTAGGCGCTGTTCTGTTTGTCGGAAAAGCGAGAAATCAATGGGGAGGCGTTGTGATTTTTTGTCAC